AACACAGCTCACGTTTGGTATGAAAATGAATCTCCTCTCTCTCTCTCAGCGTCACCGTTTCACCAGCGGTGACCAGACGAACTGTAATCCCTTTCTTAGAGAACACGCCGTGACTCTCCTCACCTGGACCTTTTCCAGCTTCACCTGTGGACGCTTCGCCCCCTCAGCTGGATTTAAAGTTTGCAGGAGGAAACGGCGGATACGTTGGTTTCTTGGACGGCTGAAATGGATTTCTTTGGTTGTTTTTTATTTGTAAAGACACCAGAAGTTGCCCTACGTTTCAGAGGGAAACTACAAACCCTGCTCGCAGCCCCTGATTAATCCCCCATCATCCTTCACTGCTTGACTAAACTGTGACATATGCAATCAGCGTATCTTGGTTTATTCCCTTGTTTTGTAAACTTTGAATTTAGGCTCAGAAACATATTTTTGGTTGTAAGAAGAAAAGCATTATTATTATTATTGTTGTGTTGCTGTTGCTAGTGCACCTGGCTTGTAATGTTCTTTATGGGTTGGTAATCATCTTTTTCTCAGTCATTCCCATAAGACGTGTCTTACGTTCACTTTGCATTGTTTTTCTGAAGCGTTCCCGACACGACTGCATGCGTTTGGATCAGTCGTCATGTCGGAGGCACGACGTGATGAAAGGGTTTACTTGTAAATTGAAGAATTTCTGATAATTGTTACTTCTGCTTTGTTACGACTTGTGTTATATTGATAAATATGAATTATTGAGGATAATATAAAAAGAGAAGCTTCCATGGTTTTAGTCCGGTGCGGTGTCTGAGTAATCCAATAAAACATTGTCCTATTAAAACTCTCCAACAGGTCTGGCTGGTAATGTTTTCTTTTGTCTTTGGACAGAATGTATGGAATCATGAACAGCTGCTCCACCGTGTTTAAACTGCTTCAACTAAACTTTGTCTTTAGCTTCGCAGAGGAATGAAAGGATTGTTGGATTTACTATTACGATTTGTTCTTTATTTTTTGTTTATGACCCCTGAGATGCATCTCAGGACCTCCTGGAGGTTTGTCCACATGTGGAACTACTGGATGAGAGTCTTTTCAGTCACCCTTCCATAAAAATAATCCCGGTATAATGAACGGAAAACCTGAAAACACTGCGTTCTACCTTTTATCCAGACTAACTGTTAATGAATCATTTGTTCTGCTAACACACCCGTGTGACCCAATGATGCCTGTGCTCCACCTCCAAAAACCCACTTGTCCCGCCTGTCCCACCTGTCTCCCCTGTCCCCCTTGTCTCACATGTCCGCCTGTCTCCCTGTCCCACCTGTCTCACATGTCCTGCCTGTCCCCATGTCCCACCTGTCTCACATGTCCCATCTGTCTCCCCTGTCCGCCTGTCCCGTCTGTCCCACCTGTCCCACATATCCCCCCTGTCCCGCCTGTCCCCCGATCCCACCTGTCTCCTGTTCCGCCTATCCCGCCTGTCCCACATGTCCCCCCTGTCCCGCCTATCCCCCCTGTCCCCCCATCCCACCTGTCCCGCCTATCCCGCCTGTCCCACCTATCCCACCTTTCCTGCCTGTCTCACCTGTCCCGCCTTGTTTCACATGTCCCGCCTGTCTCACCTATCCCACCTGTCTCACCTATCCCACCTGTCTCCCCTGTCCCACATGTCCCACCTGTCTCACATGTCCATCTGTCTCCCCTGTCCCGTCTGTCCCACCTGTCTCCCCTGTCCCGCCTTGTCTCACATGTCCCGCCTGTCTCCCTGTCCCACCTGTCTCACATGTCCTGCCTGTCCCACATGTCCCACCTGTCTCACATGTCCCATCTGTCTCCCCTGTCCCGCCTGTCCCGTCTGTCCACCTGTCCCACATATCCCCCCTGTCCCGCCTGTCCCCCGATCCCACCTGTCTAGCCTGTTCCGCCTATCCCGCCTGTCCCACATGTCCCCCCTGTCCCGCCTATCCCCCCTGTCCCCCCATCCCCACCTGTCCCGCCTATCCCGCCTGTCCCACCTATCCCACCTTTCCTGCCTGTCTCACCTGTCCCGCCTTGTTCACATGTCCCGCCTGTCTCACCTATCCCACCTGTCTCACCTATCCCCTGTCTCCCTGTCCCACATGTCCCACCTGTCTCACATGTCCCATCTGTCTCCCCTGTCCCGTCTGTCCCACCTGTCCCACATATCCCCCTGTCCCGCCTGTCCCCGATCCCACCTGTCTAGCCTGTCCCGCCTATCCCGCCTGTCCCACATATCCCCCCTGTCCCGCCTGTCCCCCCCTCCCCCAGTCCCGCCTATCCCACCTATCCCCCTTCCTGCCTGTCTCACCTGTCCCACCGTCTCCCCTGTCCCGCCTTGTCTCACATGTCCCGCCTGTCTCACACCTATCCCACCTGTCTCCCCTGTCCCACCTGTCTCACATGTCCTGCCTGTCCCATGTCCCACCTGTCTCACATGTCCCATCTGTCTCCCCTGTCCCGCCTGTCCCACGTCCCACATATCCCCCCTGTCCCGCCTGTCCCCGATCCCACCTGTCTAGCCTGTTCCGCCTATCCCGCCTGTCCCACATGTCCCCCCTGTCCCCTGTCTCCCCTATCCCGCCTGTCCCCCATCCCACCGTCCCACCGATCCCCCTGTCCCCCCTCCCACCTGTCCGCCTATCCCGCCTGTCCCACCTATCCCACCTTTCCTGCCTGTCTCACCTGTCCCACCTGTCTCCCCTGTCCCGCCTTGTCTCACATGTCCCGCCTGTCTGACCTACCCACCTGTCCACCTATCCCACCTGTCTCCCCTGTCCCACCTGTCTCACATGTCCTGCCTGTCCCACCTGTCTCACATGTCCCATCTGTCTCCCCTGTCCCGCCTGTCCCACATGTCCCCCCTGTTCCGCCTGTCTCCCCTACCCGCCTGTCCCGACTGTCTCACCTGTCCCCCTGTCCCCCCAGTCAAACAGTTGTTCTGAGGACAGATCAGCGTGATCCTGCTTTAAGCTCGGTTTTATTCCAGTGGGAAAACGATCAAACGCTTCGATACAAATATTATTCATCATTCAACCCATGCACATTTTCACAAGTACAGCTCTGAGCACGTGTGCTGAGGTTCCAGTGGGTCCTGACACGCCGCCACCAGCAACAACGCCGTCTTGTTCTGACACTCTGGCTGAAAAGCTTTTTTAACAGTCTGTCGTCTCTTTAGTGGTGACCAAGCCAAAGTTCTGTGGTCGTTTCCTTTAGTGCTTCGGGTTCATAACGGCGTCCAGTGAAAAGCAAACAAGTCCCAGAATCCACCGGGTTTCTGCAGAGTCAGCTCCTCAACTCTGCAGCGACTCATACTCATAACAAAGTTTGTTCCATCGTTTCTGTCAGAAATAAAAAGCTTGTATCTCCAGGTGACGCCACTGACAGAAGATCAGACAGGAAACGAAGCTCGGGAAGCAAACGCTCAGTCCCGGTGAAATAAACCGAAGGTGAAGATTTGGAGGACGGGTCTGAGCTTATTATTTCTGACAGAATCGATGGATTAACCACTGGAAGAAGCCCGAATATCTTGGATTCCTCGGCTGAGTTCAGGCTACGACAGACGCTCCATCTCAACTGGAGTCCGCTCGGCCTGACGGCGGCGGCGGTGGCGGCGGCGGCCATGCTAGTGCAGCTTCGATCTGTGCGGTTGCAGCCTGTCTGGACGCTTCACTGAGGGGCCATGTGTCACCGTGAGGGGGGTGGAGTCATCTGGCGGCGGCGGTGTTGCAGAGTCCAGTTCCGGAGACTTTCGCCCGTAATAAAGCGCCCAGAGCAGCGTGAGGGTGAGCGCCATGGCCAGGATCTGAGCCACGCCGATGGACACGCCCAGGAAACGCAACACCTGCAGCTGCTTCGTCCCTCGAATGAAGCTGTAGATCTTTGGACCGCAGCCCTGAAACACAGAAGATCAAACCGCCGTCAGTCACGTGACTTTCATTAGAAACCAAAGAAACGCTTTGAGGCTGAGAAACGACTTCTTTTATTGGTCAGCAGCCGAATGTGAGCAGGTCACCTTCAATACGTTTAAATTCAGCTGCAGGAAAGACAGCTGGTTTAAATATGCAGGCCAGGGACCCGAGGCCAGGGGCCCGAGGCCAGAGGCCCGCCGAGTTCTGCAGGGACTGTTTAATGATTCAACTACAGTTCTAAATAATATACACTGTACACACACTGTATACACACAGTACACACTGTATACACACTGTATACACACTGTACACACACTGAATACACACTGTACACACACTGTATACACACAGTACACACTGTATACACACTGTATACACACTGTACACACACTGAATACACACTGTACACACACTGTATACACACAGTACACACTGTATACACACTGTACACACACTGTATACACACAGTACACACAGTACACACTGTATACACACTGTATACACTGTACACACACTGTACACACTGTATACACACTGTATACACACTGTATACACACAGTACACACAGTACACACTGTATACACACTGTATACACTGTACACACACTGTACACACTGTATACACACTGTACACACACTGTACACACTGTATACACACTGTATACACACTGTATACACACTGTATACACAGTATACACACTGTATACACTGTACACACACTGTACACACTGTATACACACTGTATACACACTGTATACACAGTACACACTGTACACACACTGTATACACACTGTACACACACTGTATACACACTGTATACACACAGTACACACTGTACACACACTGTACACACACTGTATACACACTGTACACACACTGTATACACACAGTACACACTATATACACACTGTATACACACTGTATACACACTGTACACACACTGTATACACACAGTACACACTGTATACACACTGTATACACACTGTATACACACAGTACACACACTGTATACACACTGTACACACTGTATACACACTGTACACACTGTACACACACTGTACACACTGCACACACTGTAACACACACTGTAACACACTGCAACACATTGCAACACACTGTAACACACTGCAACACACTGTACACACTGTACACACACTGTAACACACTTCAACACATTGCAACACACTGTAACACACACTGCAACACACTGTACACACTGTACACACACTGTAACACACACTGCAACACACTGTACACACTGTACACACACTGTAACACACACTGTAACACACTGTAACACATTGCAACACACTGTAACACACACTGCAACACACTGTAACACACACTGTAACACACTGTACACACTGTACACACACTGTAACACACACTGCAACACACTGTACACACTGTACACACACTGTAACACACACTGTAACACACTGTAACACATTGCAACACACTGTAACACACACTGCAACACACTGTAACACACACTGCAACACACTGTACACACTGTACACACACTGTACACACACTGTACACACTGTACACACTCCCTGCAGACTCACTTCACATTTCAGGTTTCAGCTCTGACTCTTTATGAGACGATCAGAGAAGATAACGTGTGATGGTTCAATCGTCCAATGAGAGGTGGCGGTGGCTCACCTCTTGGTGGAGGTCACTGAGGTCGTGGTAGTGGGCGTGGCGAGCACATCCTGGATACTGATTGGAGCAGCAGGAGTCAGGTGGCCACTCCATCTCTGTCATCTCCAGCCAATCGGTGAAGTAGATCACCCCGCAGCATTTAAACTGTGCACAGGTAAACACACAGCTGTCAGGTCACATGACAACAGCGTGTGTGTGTGTGTGTGTGTGTGTGTGCGTGACCTCTGACCTCTGTCTGGAAGCTGTTCCAGGTGTGTGTGAGCCACTGGTAACGCTGCAGGCCGAAGTTGGGCATCCGAGACTTCAGGCTGATCATGTCAGAGCGCTGCACCGCGGGCTGGACAGACGGACAGACGGGCGGATGAGGACTTAACGTTTCTAACACGTTACAGATTACAGTGATGAACACGTCATTAATGATCATCCATAACAGAATATTTGTTATTCTGTTCTTTTGCTTTTGCCACACGAAGTTCATTTTGATGGGAAAACATTTGAATGCAGGACTCCTCTTACCTTTCTGTTTTCTCTAATCACACAGAGAAAATCCTCAGTCTTATTATTAGTTTATTTTTAATTTAGCTTCGTAGGGAAAAGACTTTCCCCAAAGGTTCTGGAAAACCGGATTTCAGGACTGGAAGCTAATGTGAGGTTTGTAAACCAGCTGCTTCTGGGCTGCAGGGCCACTCGTTCTTCCTGCGTACACGAGCACAGGTTGTCCTGAAGGTGGCGCCGGAGGAAGGATCATCAGATTCACAGAAAGGTCCACTGAGTCCTGACGTTCTCTGGCTTTCGCCAAATCTGGATTCATTCAGGTCTTTTCTGCAGTTTCTGGACACCTGAAGTCTTCACCTGTCAACATGTGACCTCTGAGTCACCCCCCCCCGTGATAATCATCAGCCAGGTGCCTCAGCTATCTGCAATCCTGATAAAACAACACTCACACTGACTACAATACCCACAACCCCCTGTAGGCAGATGAGCCCTGCAGAGATGGGGCACAGGTGAGATAGTGAAGTTGGCCTGCAGGTACAAACACACAGCTGCTGTTTGTCCTTCTAATGAAGACTCCACCTGTTCAACCCCAGGAGCGTCTTCTTCTTCTACTGCTGTTTCTTTGAAGATCCTGTCCATGTTCACCTGATTTAATTAGCTTCATGTTCTGTAGTAGTTGTGTGTGTGTGTGTGTGTGTGTGTGTGTGTGTGTGTGTAGTAACTGCTGATGGTGAAACAGGATCTGACCTGAGAGCAGCAGCGAGCCGCTCGTGTCTGACATTTCTGGTTATTCTTAGCAGCGTAACTTCAGTTTCTACCAGCAGCTGAATATATCTGCAGCTGCTCACTAGCTCCTCTCTGATTGGTCGGTTTGAGACGTCCAGCGGAGGATCAAATATTCACATGCTTCATGAAAGTGAGAAACTTCAGCGTGTCGGGACAAAAACATCTGAATGACGGCGTAATTCTGAATTCATGAGGAAAGGTTAGGGTTAACACAACAAGTTGCTGTTGTTCTCAGATTCATTTATGATTTACCAAGAAAAAGTTATAATTTTAAGAGATATTTGAATATTACAAGATCATTTCAGGAGGAAATTAGACATTTGAAAATAAAGTCATTTGCAGGATGTTGTGGTTTTGTGAGAGAAAGCTGCTGTGGCACTTCAGTGATTTGATGTTCAGATTGTAAAAGTTTGGCTCTGAACAATAAGTAATATTCAGACTGTTCTCTGCAGCTTTGGGTTGTGACGAGGAGGAAAGAGTTTTCTCACCTCGTCGTAGGTCCACACAGCGCTCGCCAACTCCACGCAGAAGATCACCAGCAGGCTGCAGAAATACTGAAGCAGAAGGAAAGACAGAGTTCAGCCTGAGAGGCGTTTGGGTGAAAACGTTAAACTAAGTTTATCTTACTTCACCTGGCGCTTCCTCGCGTGATTCTAAGAACACGCCGCTGATAAAACACTTAACTGTGACTTTAACGAGTTTGACAGTTTGGTGTTTCTGCTAACACATCTGGATCGGTTCTATGTTCTCTGTACGTTCTCCTGTCAGATGTAAAGCTATTAAAGTGTACAAACTGCTTCACACACACAGTGCAGTGAAGATGGCTGTGAGTGTCCTCGACATATCAGCAAACTGACGCTGTAGAGCCCGTTTATAGCGCGCGCACACACACACACAAATGCATTGCAACACACTGTAACACACTGCAACACACTGCAACACACTGTAACACACTGTAACACACTGTAACACATTGTAACGCACACTGTAACACACTGTAACGCACACTAACACACACTGTAACACACTGCAACACACTGTACACACACTGTAACACACTGCAACACACTGCAACACACTGTAACACACTGTAACACACTGTAACACATTGTAACGCACACTGTAACACACTGTAACGCACACTAACACACACTGTAACACACTGCAACACACTGTACACACACTGTAACACACTGTAACACACACTGTAACACACTGTAACACACTGTAACACATTGTAACGCACACTGTAACACACTGTAACACACTGTAACGCACACTAACACACACTGTAACACACTGCAACACACTGTACACACACTGTAACACACTGCAACACACTGTAACACACTGTAACACACTGTAACACATTGTAACGCACACTGTAACACACTGTAACGCACACTAACACACACTGTAACACACTGCAACACACTGTACACACACTGTAACACACTGTAACACACACTGTAACACACTGTAACACACTGTAACACATTGTAACGCACACTGTAACACACTGTAACGCACACTAACACACACTGTAACACACTGCAACACACTGTACACACACTGTAACACACTGTAACACACACTGTAACACACTGTAACACACACTGCTACACACTGTAACACACACTGTAACACACTGTAACACACTGCAACACACTGTAACACACTGTAACACACACTGCAACACACTGTAACACACTGTAACACATTGTAACGCACACTAACACACACTGTAACACACTGTAACACACTGCAACACACTGCAACACACTGTAACACACACTGCAACACACTGTAACACACACTGTAACACACTGTAACACACTGTAACACATTGTAACGCACACTAACACACACTGTAACACTGTAACACACTGCAACACACTGTAACACACTGTAACACACACTGCAACACACTGTAACACACACTGCAACACACTGTAACACACTGTAACACACTGTAACACACACTGCAACACACTGTAACACACTGTAACACACACTGCTACACACTGTAACACACTGTAACACACACTGCAACACACTGTAACACACTGTAACACACTGTAACACATTGTAACACACTGTAACACACTGTAACACATTGTAACGCACACTGTAACACACTGTAACGCACACTAACACACACTGTAACACACTGCAACACACAGTACACACACTGTAACACACTGTAACACACACTGTAACACACTGTAACACACACTGTAACACACACTGTAACACACTGTAACACACTGTAACACACACTGCTACACACTGTAACACACTGTAACACACTGTAACACACACTGTAACACACACTGCTACACACTGTAACACACACTGTAACACACACTGTAACACACTGTAACACACACTGTAACACACTGTAACACACTGTAACACACTGCAACACACTGTAACACACTGTAACACACACTGCAACACACTGTAACACACACTGTAACACACACTGTAACACACTGTAACACACTGTAACACACACTGCTACACACTGTAACACACTGTAACACACACTGCTACACACTGAAACACACACTGTAACACACACTGTAACACACTGTAACACACACTGTAACACACTGTAACACACTGCAACACACTGTAACACACTGTAACACACACTGCTACACACTGTAACACACACTGTAACACACACTGTAACACACTGTAACACACACTGTAACACACTGTAACACACTGCAACACACTGTAACACACTGTAACACACACTGCAACACACTGCAACACACTGTAACACACTGTAACACACTGTAACACATTGTCACGCACACTGTAACACACTGTAACACACTGCAACACACTGTAACACACTGTAACACACTGTAACACACTGTAACACACACTGCAACACACTGTAACACACACTGTAACACACTGTAACACACACTGCAACACACTGTAACACACACTGTAACACACTGTAACACACACTGCTACACACTGTAACACACTGTAACACACACTGCAACACACTGTAACACACTGTAACACACTGTAACACATTGTAACGCACACTAACACACACTGTAACACACTGCAACACACTGCAACACACTGTAACACACTGCAACACACTGCAACACACTGTAACACACTGTAACACACTGTAACACACTGTAACACACACTGCAATACACTGTAACACACACTGTAACACACACTGCAACACACTGTAACACACACTGCAACACACTGTAACACACACTGTAACACACTGTAACACACACTGCTACACACTGTAACACACTGTAACACACACTGCAACACACTGTAACACACTGTAACACATTGTAACGCACAGTAACACACACTGTAACACACTGTAACACACTGTAACACATTGTAACGCACACTAACACACACTGTAACACACTGTAACACACACTGTAACACACTGTAACACACATTATAATACACACTGTAACACACTGTAACACACTGTAACACACTGTAACACACTGTAACACATTGTAACGCACACTAACACACACTGTAACACACTGTAACACACACTGCAACACACTGTAACACACTGTAACACACTGTAACACACACTGCAACACACTGTAACACACACTGTAACACACTGTAACACACTGCAACACACTGTAACACACACTGTAACACACTGTAACACACACTGCTACACACTGTAACACACACTGTAACACACTGTAACACACATTATAATACACACTGTAACACACTGTAACACACACTGCAACACACTGTAACACACACTGTAACACACACTGTAACACACTGTAACACACTGTAACACACACTGTAACACACTGTAACACACTGTAACACACATTATAATACACACTGTAACACACTGTAACACACACTGCAACACACTGTAACACACACTGTAACACACTGTAACACACACTGTAACACACTAACACACTGTAACACACATTATAATACACACTGTAACACACTGTAACACACCGTAACACACTGTAACACACTGTAACACACTGTAACACACACTGCAACACACTGTAACACACACTCTAACACACTGTGACACACTATAACACATTGCAACACACTGTAACACACACACACTGTAACAAACTGTAACACACCGTAACACACTGTAACATACTGTAACACGCATTGAAACACATTGCAACACACTGTAACACACACACACTGTAACACACTGTAACACACCGTAACACACTGTAACACTGTGTAATACACATTGAAACACACTGTTACACACTGTAACACACATTGTAATACACACTGTAACACACTGTAACACACATTATAATACACACTGTAACATACACTGTAACACACCGTAACACACTGTAACATACTGTAGCACACACTGTAACACACTGTAACACACATTGAAACACACTATTACACACTGTAACACACTGTAACACACATTATAATACACACTGTAACATACACTGTAACACCGTAACACACTGTAACATACTGTAGCACACACTGTAACACACTGTAACACATTGTAATACACACTGTAACACACACTGTAACACACTGTAACACACACTCTAACACACTGTAACACACTGTAACACACCGTAACACACTGTAACACACTGTAACACACACTGTAACACACTGTAACACACACTCTAACACACTGTAACACACTGTAACACACCGTAACACACTGTAACACACTGTAACACTGTGTAACACACATTATAATACACACTGTAACACACTGTAACACACACTGTAACACACTGTAACACACTGTAACACATTGTAACGCACACTAACACACACTGTAACACACTGTAACACACACTGCAACACACTGTAACACACTGTAACACACTGTAACACACACTGCAACACACTGTAACACACACTGTAACACACTGTAACACACTGCAACACACTGTAACACACACTGTAACACACTGTAACACACACTGCTACACACTGTAACACACACTGTAACACACTGTAACACACATTATAATACACACTGTAACACACTGTAACACACACTGCAACACACTGTAACACACACTGTAACACACACTGTAACACACTGTAACACACTGTAACACACACTGTAACACACTGTAACACACATTATAATACACACTGTAACACACTGTAACACACACTGCAACACACTGTAACACACACTGTAACACACTGTAACACACACTGTAACACACTAACACACTGTAACACACATTATAATACACACTGTAACACACACTGTAACACACCGTAACACACTGTAACACACTGTAACACACTGTAACACACATTGCAACACACTGTAACACACACACACTGTAACAAACTGTAACACACCGTAACACACTGTAACATACTGTAACACGCATTGAAACACATTGCAACACACTGTAACACACACACACTGTAACACACTGTAACACACCGTAACACACTGTAACACTGTGTAATACACATTGAAACACACTGTTACACACTGTAACACACATTGTAATACACACTG